TATGTTATCCACAGCTTGCAGCATGCATCGCCATTGGATTCTTTCGGTGCTCTCATTCCCCCGGACTACTTTGAAACATGTACACTAGTTGGCGAGCCGAGACTCCCGGCGATCGGACCCGTCTACCAGAGCCATCGGCACGGTCCTGCGCCACGGACCGGCAGTGTCACCCGCCGGGTCGTCCGAGGCTCGGCGTACTCTCCTGACGCGGACGCGAGCCGATCACAAACTGACCGGCCACAGATCAGCGGCGGATCAATACGGCAACACCGGCCAGCTCGCGCCACGGCTTCGGCGGCCGGGTCCCGCGCCTTCTCCCCGTCCGACAGTGCGGGCGTCGACACCGTCGCGGCCCGTAGCCAGCTATCGGCGAGCGATAACGACGCTCGTGGGCGAAGTTTGTCGGCGCGAGGAGGCGAGCGAGAGCCGGCGCCGACAGACGAGAGACCCTGGTGTTTTCCCACCCGGCTGGCGCGCGGAGGAACAAGCCGTAATGAGAGTGGACAACTTTAAATGGCGGCGGCTGTCCGGGCGGCCGGAGCGAAGTGAGGAATATGGCGCAGAGCGGCAGGAGTAAGAGGGGTCCGCAAATACCGACGATTTCAACAGCTATAATGCGCAAGTGTTTAGTTAGTGGGTACGTACTGAGGTTCGTACGTTTGTGTCGTTAGATCTGGAGAGAAACACCCACCACAGCACCGATTTTATCGCTCTATGTTGAAAATGTCCGACTATTTTGAGCCGATTGGTCACGCAAGCTATTGCGCTTGTATGGCATCGACCGAGCCAATGAACGATTCAGATGCTCTGGACCCCTCAGATCCCGACAGCATCAAAACGTAAGAGGTCAATAGCTCTCCTCACGTCGAGTAAATGGGCCATCTGCTGACGCGGTGTCGGCGTAACGGCCGCGGTTACGCCCTTCATCGATTTGATTGGACTGCTTTGGAGGGCATCCACAAACGCCCAATTCGCCAGGCGATTGCAAAAACGCCACTGCGCGTGACATCTGAGATGCAAGTGGTTCCTGCAAAAAAAAAGAGTGTGGCTGATCTTAACAGGGTGCCCCTTCGAAAGTAAACAATATTATAAGGCTATGTTTACTGAAAGAGCTCTGCTCAGCGGCAATTCATTTGATGGGCCAATTATGCTAAAAAATCTGTTGTTTTTCGAGTGAAAATCATCAAGAAGAACACGGCTGCTATAAAAATGTACGGTTTGATTAAAGGGCGCCTGATGACGAGTTATGCAAAGTTATTCCGCACATAAATCATAGCACCATGTCTAAACCGGTGTTTCATAAGTGCCGACACAGTGGAATTTGTACTACCTGTAGAGATGCTACTAGCTTACACCCCGGACCTTAGCTCCACAAAACGTAGCCATGTGATGACGTTAAATGGTTTGATTGCATTGTTACGTGCATAGTACTTTTTTCAAGAAACCTACAACCGCTGAGCAAACCACTCCAACTTCCAATTAAAACTTATATTAGCATGATGGGATTGCAAGATCGAAACCTAGATATGTCTTGTTATAAACAAATAAATGCTATGCCTTGTTGACAATACAACAGGCACACCGAGTCTCAGGCAGCAAACTGCGCACGCGCAAGTCAAGTGCAAGTCAACGGCCAAAAATTATATACGCCCAATAATTCCACGTCCTTCGGCTGGGCGGCACAAGACCATCCTAAAGCGCGACCTCCCGGCAGTTTGCGGCGGTGCCATCGGTGGATAGCCCAGGGCGGGGGCGGCTCACGTCACGCCGGCTGAGCCGGGCGGTGATACGGACCGCCGGACGAGGCAATGCCGGGCCGAGGGAGCCGCCCCGGCCCCGGCCGACCGCTGTCCGCTCCAGCGCACCGCCGGCTCCGTCGCGAGGCCGGCCCCGCTACACGCTGCGACGGTCCCCGCGGGGGGGGGGGGGGGCGCCCGCAGTTGAGAGACAGCCACGCGTGATTTCGGGCGGAGCTGCGACTGAGCTCCGTCCAAGCTGCTCTGGCGCCGCACTTTGTCCACGCCAGGGATCCCGCTTTGAAGGACGGCCGATGGCGGGGCTTAAAACTTCTGTAACTGATTCAAAGATCACAAGGTGGAGCTTAGGCCAGAGCCCAAGGGAAGGCGGCCGGGCCGAGGGAACGCTTCTTTAGAGATCAACCGAAGGACAAATCTCTAACTTGGAAGCAATTGAAAGGGAAGGGTCGTTCGAAAAGAAAATCTGACTTTGCAGCATTCACCACTATTCCCTCATTTTCGCCTTATCCTGCATACTCGCCATACCTCGTTTATCCTGGGAAAGCTACATGCACTAGCCATAAATGGGTCCAAGTGCCCCCTGGTGGGCGCTGCCCCGTCCGAGCGTCGAGCGCCATATCCTGTAGAAGTCCCGGGAGTCGGGAAGGGGGGCTGAGTCTCGGCGGACGGACCCCATGACACGTGCTGTTTTGTTCCTCCATTATCCACTCTTCTTAATTCCGTGGCGCTGACATGGGCCTTACATGGCGAAAGGGCTCGTGACAAATTTAAACAAAATCCAGATCAGCAGGTCTAGCGGTACAGCATAACGACCAGGTCCGGATCGCTGCGCCATCTGTTGAGCTTGTCTTCGCTACAAGCACCTCTGGTTCGCGACGCCGTAGAACTGTCCCACATAAGGAGTACAGGATGTTTAGCAAGCTTTATTAACCTATACTGGACTCCTTCAGAGAGTTATGCCACCTTTTTGGACTTTTCAATTATTGTTAGATCAGACGCATCTGATTGGATCGGTAATGCCAGCTTTCTCGAACTCTGAATAGCCCAGAATTTGTATTTGAAGTAACGTTCCTGCCGCAGAAATCTCATTGGACTCCCTGCTTCCACCATGAAAATGGTATACTTCAGTTGCGTTTTTCCAACGTGCGCATCCCGTAATGTGTGCAACACACTAATTTGTCACAATGTTTGTGCAACAAATGCTACGAAAGCGGGAAAACCCCCTCTCAGGAGAAAATATGCAAACATGAGGCTACTATCTCGCGTACTCAATGACATGTTACACGATAGCTTTGATTTCTCACTGTTGGCGTTTAGCACCCTGATTCTTTCCGAAACGCACTTTGGCTTTGGGAAACGAAGCATTACATGTTCAAAAGTGACGCACTGGTTCAAACTTCAACCAATGCGCCACTCGGCAACTGACCCTTGCCATCCACTGTGCCAACCACAAGTGTTTACTTGTACTGACGTCATTCTTACTAGTAGGGGTGTCACTTTAAGGCCCACAAGCACGCAATGTGTGGGTTAAAATATTTTTAAAATGGTTCCTTTAGCTTGTAAAAAGCGGTACCTCTGGCATCAGCAGATTCTGTCGTCGTCAATGCGGTTGCGACAACCGCAGTTGTGGATTCGGGATGCACTGTGGGGATACCAAGAAAGGAAGTGTAGTACTATTGCAAGGCGTTGATGGTCTGTTTTGGACCAAAAATAACTGGAGTGTACCTGCTTGTTTCATCTCGAAGGTGCTGCAGTGACACAAGCCATTGTTTTTATTACACATAGATGGTTCTGAGGTTTTACTAACATTTTTTAACATGTCCCAAAGGTGCGACACCCCCTTTAAACATTGAGCCAATGGTAGGATGCATGGCACATTCACCGAAGAACAACCGGGACAACGCAACCCCACCACAAAAATGGTTGCACTGCAAGCCAGGCCAACACATGAATCAAAACTGTATGTGTTAGGAGCTCTTATGCTGAGTTATTGAGCTTCAATATATTGGGAGGTACTGATTAAACGACGTTAAATAGCCAATAGGGCCGAAGTTTTCTCTACAGCATTGTTTAATCATAACCTCCAGCATATCAAAAGTCGATAACTCATCATCAGAACTCTGTAATCAACATGCTGAAGCCAGGGGTTGAGACTTTCCTTTCTTATTTAAATCAAAGCTTGCTTAGAAAGGCATGCCGTGTCACTTGTGAAGTATGTTGATATAATGAACAAATGACATAACATCCCAAGCCAACAAGTATCCAAACACTGCTAAATTGCGAGAATAGCCCACGCGGTTTATATGAGTGTGCGTCGCGCGTGAGCCTGATGCGAGGACAAACATCATCTGTGGAATGCCAACAACCCTAAAACAGCAGTATGTTTTTGTTGTGCTCCTCCTAACCTTTGGTTCAGCATCAAAAGAGTTGCATCTCATCTTCGGTGTCGAACGTTAATCAAACAATTCGAAGGCAGCGAATATTTTAGTGATATGCTCTCGCCACGGCATTGTTAAGCATGTCTGTGGCCTGATCGGTGCGACTCCTGTTGCTAATTTGTAGTCGGGGTCTCTGCCCCTAAGACGTTGCGAGCTTCGTTTATTTTACTAACGAGAACGTTATCCAACTATCACAGGCGACCTCTGCAGTCCTACATTTGAACAATTAGGCTCACTTGGTTAGCTACAAACAGCACTAGGTCCGTCAGCATCTGACAGCTTAGTTACGAATGTCAGTTTTGATAGCATGTTTTCGTCAGCCCTGTCACTTATAATGTTAGCGGCACAGTACTGAACACGAACAAACCGTCTTGTAACTGTCTATATATGCGTCCTTTGAAACAGCTGCGTGATTATCACTCCTTCTAACAAACTACAATCAACGCGATGATCCCGAGGTTTGTCATGACTCGGTCACGGCCCGAGCACCACAGCCTTTCACAAGCTCTGAGTAATCAGCTCAACGCCGTGCCAGGCTCGCGATGCACGCACTAAAGGACGCCACCGCTGGGCGCGCGCTGTTCCCCTGACCGGCACTGACCTGGGCGCCTACGTGACCCTGCCGGAGCCGGATCAGGTCCGTGGCACTGACCTGGGCGCCCACGTGACCCTGCCGGAGCCGGATCAGGTCCGTGACATTGACCTGGGCGCCCAGGTGACTCTGCCGGAGCCACATCAGGTCCATGGCACTGACCTGAGCGCCCACATGACCCTGCCGGAGCCACATCAGGTCCATGGCACTGACCTGGGCGCCCACATGACCCTGCCGGAGCCGGATCAGGTCCGTATGCGACCAGACGCTCTCGTTCCACGGCCGCACGTGCCGCAGGTCCATGCTGAGGTTCACGTTCTGCAGCTTGTTGTAGACGAAGCGACGGGCGTTCCACGGAAAGTCGTTATGTCTGGAAAGAGCCATGTGTGTCATCGAGCTCGTCGGCGGCAGGTCGTTCTCATGTGACGGAGCATCGCCTCTGTCACACAATACCAAAACGTAGGTGGACGGCTGCTGATAAATGTGGTGTGTCATGGACAAACGTAATTTTAGCTGCATCTTCTCATGGATAGCATTTGAATAAATTCAGCGGGGACGGAGTTGCGTTTCACTCACAACTATATAAAAGGCTTTCTTTTAAACACCATTTTGGCATTCGAAGCGGCAATATGTTATCAATAATGTACGCACCTTAAAAGCGGGCATCAACGCAATACCCGTTTGTTAGTTGATGACGCGAATGCTTTCCACTGTTATCCTATTGCGCAATACCATCGATCAAGACACAATGACGGTTCATCTTAAGTGCAGTTAAAGATCAGAAGTATTTTATTAATGCCCAGTATTATCTAGGTTGTGCTGTTTCTTTAGGCTTTACCTATCCATAGGTTTATTTTATCGTGGCAATTATGCAGATGTGCTACTTGCTGTGACATGCACAGATTTCGGGTCAGTCTTTGGTTTCTTACGTAAATACGATGTACGAATATACAGAACATTTCGTCATAAATCAAGCGAAAGTCTGGCCTAACCACCAGCAGTGAAGTCATTTGGCCTGAAGTCAGGAGGAGCCAGGCTACGCAGGTCGGTGGGTTAGTGCACGCATTAATATGTCGCATTCGTGTTGAGTCTCCAACGCTTTCCGATACATGTAACCATGGGTGGTATCGGAACTAAATAAATGTTAAATGGTTTGCCTTGAGCTGACCACCGAGGCCGTTGATCATCATCATTTCAACCGAATTATTCTCCCTTTCACGCATATGTCGGTACAACGATTTTGTTTCCATCAACGCGGTCCTTTGGTTAACTGTGAATGGATACATGGAAGCAGAATCACCCCAAACGATACGTCTGTGGAAAAAAATAATCCAGTGGCTGACTTCATTATGAATGCCCACATTCTTCAGCCAAACAAGAAACAAGAAGATGCTTCCTCCTAAGCTGTGTTTGGCAGAATCTTGTTGAGAAATTTGGCGAAATGTCTGTTAAATTTGGCAAAATGTCACAGAACATAGATGAAACCAGCACATCCAGCTGGGGCCATAAGCAGGCCGTGGTTCCTAGAGGTTCCTAGATGAAGTGAACAATCGATCCCAAACAGCTCCAGAAACGGTTTGACAACTGGGATAAAAAAACTAGCTTAATCCCGCAAATGACCTGTGATAACAAGCAGTTGATGACTGAGCTTAAGCCTGCGCCAATGCCTCAGCCTTCCTCGGCATAACACGAGATTAACTCGCACTATACAAATGTGCGTTTGTCGAGTTTTTCGCATGACATAAAAACTGCTTTAAGGTCAGCTAGTTAAGACATGATGCATGGTTGATTTAGTTCTGAAAAAGTTCTGGCTGTAAACTACATCCACTCGAAAAGTGAAGTGAGCGGAAAGAAGAACTAAATGGTGTGATTCAAGAGTGTGAAAAATCAATACGGAAGTTACAAATTGTGTGATTGCACTCAACACTCTCTTAAAATCAGAGCATAGCACAACTCAACAAACGGGCGTGCACTCTGTTGGAAGTTGTCACCGATTAATACAAGGCCACAATACTGGTTAATAGATGATATTAACACAAAGATGTCACCGATCAATACAGAGCCACTGCACGTAACTTGTTGTTACTACAAGCACTCGTGTGACGTCGTTCGAAAGCCTTACCTAGGAAGCTTTCCTAACCTAGAAGTTACAATTTGAAATCGATTGTATTGTCATGCGTACACCTTGCAGCCGGACGAAAGTGAACGACACCATTCAGAGCAGCGAATATCACAATGAACATTACCACCGCGATTATGTTCTTTGTGTCCAAAGCAGGGGCTCGGCTGCTTGAGCAATACGGCCTCAACTCATTTCAGATTAATACGTGTGCGTTGCTAGAGCTCGTTGGATTGAAGTCATATACCACGCACCGATGGAATCAGGAGCCAACTAAAAGGATCACATTATTCCAATGCTTATCAGAAATCACATCCAATGAAATGAATAGCATTGCCTGTCACCGAATTATTCAGTATGTAATTAAATGTCGGTGTCGAGCGCATTAGCAAGGGACGATTATCCGAAAATGGAAACTAAATTGCCACCCAACTAGACGCCATGAAAACGGATAATGCATAAGCCAGTGAAGCGGCTCTAACCGGGGCGGGACTTGCCCGCGCCAGTCCGACCATGGGATAACCTGCGGAGTGTCCCAGTGCGGTTCTAACCGGGGCGGGACTTGCCCGCGCCAGTTCGACCATGGTATAACCTGCGGAGTGTCCCAGTGCGGTTCTAACCGGGGGCGGGACTTGTCCGCGCCAGTTCGACCATGGGATAACCTGCGGAGCGTCCTCAGTAATGCCCTGACGCGATCAGCCCTGGGAGAACCCACAGTTGTACCAGCGTTGCCAGCGAACATCCGGGAACAAAGAGGCGTCTAATCAATGCCACGTTCTTGTTGGCGGATTTGGCGGCTGGTAAATATTTGCTATTGGCTGAGTTGCATGCGGCCCACGAATGTGTTGCTGTTGACATAGATAACACACTGGCTAATGCGATGGGCATCAGAAGAATATCGTCATGCTGGCATCCAGGGTCGGCAGTTGAAACGCACAATGGGCCGCGCATTGCAAGCTCCAGGGCTGATATCGGTAGGCAAATAGGTAATAAACAACTTGAAACGTTCCAGAATAGTCAATGTGATTATGTCTTGTGCGATCTCACTAAACAATTGCATGCAAGATTTTGATCGGTATTATCAACGTCTGATGATATGTGCGAAAAAGGGACCCTGGACACCAAGCAGAGGCGACGTGCAAATCAACTATAAAGGATGAAGAGATCAGATTCCTGAAACCAGGTCAACTGTTGCACCTACCAACGCAGTCCATAAAGCAAGCCTGGAGGGCACTGACAACACAGCTCCGTCCCTCGATGCACCCCTGGCCCGGCCCCTCCCACCCACTGGGCTTCCCCGGCGCCTTTGGCGGCCGGCCTGGGCCGGCGTGTCGCCTCTTGTTGCTGCCATCGATCACAGCGGGCGCGGAGTCGGCGACGGTGCCGCTCGCTAATGACCCTCATCACGGGGCGTCTGCTGACCCCGCGACGACGGACGGCGCCGGCCCGCCGCCGCCTGATGGCCAGCGGCGCGACCAGCGGACGCCCGCGGGGGGCACCGGCCGCGGCCGCCTTATGGCCAGCGGCGCGCTCAGTGGATGCCAGCGAGGGGGGCACCGGCCGCGGCCGCCTGATGGCCAGCGGCGCGCCCAGCGGACGCCCGCGGGGGACACTGGCCGCGGCCGCCTGATGGCCAACGGATGCCAGCGAGGGGGGGGGGGGGAGGAGGGTAGGCGCTGCTGCTGTCGGCCACCGGGCGCCGATGCATTGCTTTAGTTCAGACGATGCGACGAACGCAAACCGCTCTGGTTACCTGCAAGTAAACTCAACCTGCTGTCGGGCATCACAAACAGATTACACCTTTATAGAGGTGGTTAAAATGGATTATATAATCCGTTTCACATGCCGAAGCAAGTGCATGGTGGCCGGTTTGGTACGCGTCGTACGGGTCTCTGGTCATCCAATCCTATAAACCCATCATACAGATGCTGTGCGAGTGCACCAGACTGCTATTTTAGCGTAATCCCAGAACGGCTGTCCGAAAGGATCGAAGGCTTGATGCAGATCGGAGTTTGAATGTGGACAATGTCATATAAAGCGTCATTATGTATGTCCAGTAACAGTTTGACCTAGGAAGCATATACTTAGCACAACCCTCCCACCATGACCCAATCCAAGACCTTCATCATGCTCATACTCAGAAAGAGGATGCATACCATAATGCACAACGTTCGTTGCGCTCATTCACCATCCTCCTTTATCTATCACGTGTTCTCATTTGAGCAGACAGCTACGCGGTGATCAGAGGGTAAACTCTTCCGAACATCGTTCCATAACCTCTGCTCGAACAGCTCGCCAATACCAGCACCGCGCTTGAGCATGACACCGCCCTACACGCGACAGATGGGGCTGCTAAGCGGCGTGCGGTGCCGGCCCGGGCGAGGCGTCCCGGCCCCGACCACACATCTCCGGCCGACAGGCGCGCGCCGCTGCTCGGCCCGGCAGCACCCTCCAGAGGCCACCAAACCCCGCCCTCTCACCGGGCCGGTTACTCTAGAGCGGCGCGGCACACAGCACTGACCACACACCACTGCAGACATCCCGGTCGGCGCCTTTTAGATGAGCCATTCTGAGTCCATTGACGAGGCGTGCTAGGTCAGGCAGCACCTTGGAAGAGCGGCGGCACCAACTTGCTCGACCTTGCGCCCAAGCAATTCCGCTTTGCCGGATTCGTTGTGGCTCGGAGTTACTGGGAGTTCAGGGGACTTGTGTCTCGGCTGGTAACGGTCGGGAAGTTTCATAGCTCCAAGACATTACTGAATGGCCTGTTATTCCAACAAAACTTTTCTCCTGGTGCCATTGAGAAATTCTGCCGTCGCAGTGGCCCAACCAAATGTTTTTCGGGGAACATAACTGGTACAGGGATACCACCAGAGACCCAGACTTTATATTTTTAAAGCCATCGAAAGTGCTCACATTCAGTATAGAGAAAATTGCGCCTCTCGAGAACAAAAGACAACATAAAAAGCAATAAACTCTAGTGGCCTTTGATGAATGGCCAAGACGAAAAACAGAAACCCGTAGCTCGAGATTGCTTTTACTTTCCACGAAACTTGAAAATGCTGCAACCCTTTGGATTATAAGCACGCAGTTATGAAAGCCAATGTATGTGTTTGGTACGAAGCTAACAGGGTTAACTCATCTTGTTGTTAAGAAATGTGTGGCTTGGGCTTCATCTTCATGACACAGAGGAAGGCTCAGAAACTAACAACTACCGAGGAAAGTTCATAACCTACGCGACCTTTCGCCAACACACCCAGACGCTATCATTTCATCACGCGGAACGGTTCCTGCATTCCCCCCCCCCCCCCCCCACATCCATCTCTTTACCGCACGGTCGGCCCCGTGACGCATCCCCGGCGCGCGGGGCAGCCGCCGCTGGCGGCGAACGACCGATAAAGTGGCGTTACCGGCGGCGGCGGGCGGCGCGCCAACCTAATTCCTCGCCGCTCTCTTACAACTGGCAGCAATTAGGTCCGGCGCTGCTCCCCCGGGTGCGGCCTGGGTCTGCCCATCGTCCCGACCACAATGCGCCGCCCGCAGTCCCGCCGCCGTCACCGTCGACGACAGCGACGGCGACGGCGACGGCGGCGACGCTGATCTGGCAGCCGCGACCGCCAAGCGCTGCCAGATCGCAAGCTTCAGCGACGCTCGCGGTCGGAAGACGCCACGCGCGTCGAAGGCACGCCCAGTGTCGTAAATTCGGCTGTCACCGCAGTGCTGTCAGGCTGCATTATAGCCCTTGTAAAACGAGATGACCGTTGGTGGAAATATGGCCTCGATGGCAGCGAGGACGTTTACGGTCACTTTCGAGCGGAAGCACCCAGCTCCGCGGCCCGATCGAGGTCTGCTGAGAGGTAACATCGGCCATCTGCGGGACATTTTCTCCCCAGAAATATACCTTAGCGAGCTGATTGTCAGGAGCGCGGGTGCGTGTCCAAGATGGGGGGGGGGGGGGGAGAATGCATTTCGGCTCGTTTCTTTCCATGCACCGTCATCAGCTTGGTGCTAAATTATCCCATATGCTCAGAGGATTCGAGCTCCCAGAAGCGTCCCCATAATTCGATAGCTCCCGTAGCTATGTTGATTATTTGGTACGAGTTCACGCGAGTAATCACTCGACGAGCCCAACGAGCACCGCTCGTTCATTCAGCCCGGCCATTGCGGAACGAACACAAACGGATAATCAACACAAACGGACGTCTACGATACAAACGACAGATGACGCCAGATAATTAGTGTATTTATATCCACAACTCCCGTGTAAAAAGACGTGTACATGAAAGTAATGTGGTTCTTTCACGCTTCTATGCCCGTGCAAATTACTTTGCCGTTTCCGGAGGTTGTTGATAAAGTATGGGTGTTTTCATTATAAGATCCAGGGTAAAAAAAAAATGCTGAACGCGCTGCAGTTGGGAGGGGTGCTATTTCATATGAGGCAGTCAAGAAATTGGGCTGATTCTAAGCAACCCAACTCGTAAACAATGAAAAGTGTGCAATGCATATCTGACAAAAAAGCCAGTCTGCATGACTAAAAACATCATTCCTACAGATTTCAGTGGAGGCCATCCTCAGCGATTAATCGCAGGAAACCAGTTTGTAGGATTTCGACTTGAAAGACTTCATCTTCCTTAAGAAACGCCCAAAGTATATACTGTATATATCCGACCAGTAAGACCATTTTTGCTGCATTGGAGCATGCTAGGTGATGTGCGACATAGTGACCTTTAAGCAGATTACTGTTCGACATAACATAACACAACCTTAGGTGCGTTCCTGTCCGGACCAAGCGTTTTATCGATGGAAGTGAGCTTGAACATTGTGTACAATTATGGGCCTTGGCGAACGCTGGATACCAAACTAACCCTTGCTTTACATTGGTCTTTATTCGGTTCTTCTAAGGCGGTACAAGCGGGCCAAAAATCAACTAAAGTGCAGTGGTATATGCGTATTTTGCAAGCGTGCGATCGATTTTAGAACACTGTGGCGTGGTCCGGACGGCGGTTAAGTTTCCCACATAGTGCGGGTCGATCGAGTGCAACACAAGTTTCTCATTTGGTCGCGTACGAGTTCTCCGGTAAAACAGCTTCTCTTTTTTAGGCAGCCTTCTGCTTCATTTCAAAATTCCATTCCTGGCAGCACTACGAGTGCAGCACGATTTATGCTTTCTGAGAAACATCCTCCAAGGTAAACTGGACTCTAAAGTCTTGCTCAGCTGTTTTCCCTTGCTTGCGCCGCCTCGGTCGACCCGCACCCGAACTCTGGTCGCTGTACCTTGCGTGCATCTACAGTCAGTACCGAGCTGTCTGTTTTGCAGACTGCCAGACTGCGTCGTGAACACTTTTTTAACTAGAAACACTAGCGCGTATACTTTTTATGACAGCTTTGTCATTTTAAGAGCTCAAGTGACTAAGTCTGCTTTAACTCTGAAACATCCTTACTTGCTTTGTGACAAGTCATTCATTATTTATACTTCTACTATTTTGTGTTGTTTTTTTTTGTATTTTACTTTAACGACCCCACCTGTTAGGGGAGCGCCGCTCTGTTGGTGATAAAATGAAATGAAAAAATAACCGGATAAGCAAATAAAGCCAGTCGTCGTTTTTGAAAGCCCATATGGATACAATTGTTCAAAGCATGGAAATATCGTGTAGAGTTTGGGGGAGGATGTAAGCTGATGCTTTCCGTCCGCGCGCTCGATATCTGTGACTGGAATGCTGGCTGCCTTTAGGCATGCCGGACCTGACAATTTTAATCCACGGAGTAAGGAAAGATGGAGCACTACGTTTTTGGTGAGTGTGGCGAAAATTTTGAAAAAGCCAGCTATTTGGGTAGACACCTAACAGGTAAAACCCTTGTGACGCCGCCGGAACCTAAAAGGAAGTGATGGGGGAGGCCGTATGGATTAAATCAAGACCATACACTAGCTATTCGTCAAGAGCAAGTATTATGACGGTGAAGACATTTCCATGAGTGTTCACATAGGTCCTCATCTAATGCAAACACGAAATTTTCTTTTGAACCGCGAACTGGGACTAAGACCGAGTTTTTGCGATATAACACTTCATGGATGACTAGCCTCTACCCAGAACAAACTCATTTTCAACTAGCTAATAAGTATATCCCCATCCCTTAAAAACGAGGTCATATCGTCTTGCAGTTACTTGAAGCTGCCATCCATTGCACGTCTGCTTGGCAGCGATGCGCGCCACCCGGCTTCTAGTTTTAGGAGCTCATTTCAGGGCGAGAATTGCATGACATTCCCTGCGGCGCACCAGCCGTATTTCTTCTGCACGTGGGCTGCCCGAAAGGCAGACCAGATTTTCCCCCATCGTGCCAAGTCGGGCTGAGGAATCTATTGAATAATTTATCTAGCCTGATCGACCGCCCACCGACATTCGTGGTTCACAAGCAGAATCTGTAATGTCGGAGGTTTCAGACCAGATTCAGCGATCTAGATTTCCTAGATGCCGGAACACGCATGGAGAAGTTGAAGAGAATTCGACCACAATTCGCATGCGGAAGATTTCAGATAACAGCTTCCGTACTTGAAAACATGTTCCACATTCATATGGGGTTTTGAACTGAAATGTGGCATCCTGAAGACCTTTCGTTGCTGTTCACAATCCTACTATTCTTAAGACTAAGCCCCTCTAATTTATGAGCTACACGCCCGTACATATGGGGAAAGGTATATCGGAGAGAGTGTTTCAAAGTCACTTTAGCATTCATGACGTCATAATAGCGTTATTCAAATCGCGCCACTCCATACGTCATGTGGCGGTCAAGGCCAAGAAACAGCATTGTCCAGGCGTTCATATCTGACGTTCGTGAGCACGATTTCCAGGGGTAACGACCGTCATTTGGTTTTTAATTAGCGTTGTGTAAGGTGCGATGACGTAATCAAACCATGACGCAATGAAAAGCATATTTACTAAACGGAGAATTGCGCTGACTAGAGCAGTATTTTTCTCTTAAAAACAAACCAGTACTTTCAAGTGAGCTTGTTTTTTATCATATCTGATGCTTCCTTCAATATCTCCAAATGTGGAACATTCCCTTTAAGTGGCATCTTATTACCACCAACAACAAGCATACAATCAACGAGACATTACACACGATCCATATCTGTCACAGACCGGATTAAAACCGTCTGCTCTGAGTGCAAGCACTCTCATCAGATGGCGCTCACTTTCGGAACGCCACCACCGTCATCGCCGAAAATTCCCATGCTTCCAGGATAGGAGAAGGCGGAGGAGACTCGAGTCACTCAATGTTACTGTGTCTCAATACAACTACTGTGCTCGTCGTGTAGAACCAGCCGACTTTAAATATTAGCGCCTCCAATTAGTGGGCAAAACGTTCTCAGCTGACCGTTAAGCGGTCAGGGACGCCTCCAGAGAGGTCGCGCGCGGCGGCGACGCCGACTCACCCGTCGACGAGAGGCACTTGTGTGAGGATGCGCCTGGCCAGCTGGAGGCGCTGGGCTGGCGAGCCGCGCGCCATGTCCCGCAGCAGCAGCGGCACGCTGATGAGGCCCGTCGTCGCCACCACCACCAGGATCATGCAGACGACGCACCAGTGCCGCCGGCCGATGTCGGCGCCGGCACCGCTCTCTGCAACAGCACGCGCACGACCGAGTGAGAGGGAGGCAGGGTTCGCCTTCCAAGTCGGCCAGTGAACGCCACCTGAGCACGCAGGAGTATGGCACGGATGGCCGACGGCTGGTGCCTGCTTTGCTAAGGCGAAGCATGCCAAAGCGCGGCGTGAGAGCAGCCCTCGTGCTTCACTGCACGTGCGGTGTGTGGTCGCCAGATCTCACTCTCGTCTAACAACTGAAACAGCGCCGGAGTTGTGGGCGTGATGCGCTATTATGACAAGGCTCTATTCAAACTTGAGCCATCATCGTCATGTCTGACAGTCAGTGTAAACAGTCAGTCACAAGTCAATCCCAGTCTTGATATACACTTTGCCGACGGCTGTAGCGATTCTGGTGACTGGCAGCTTGCCTATCCCTGTCAAGACAGGTGTTCGGCGCTCGAGGACGGTGAAAATTATTGAACCTTGGGGTTAAGCCACTTGGGCTACCATGATACGTTCCTCTTTCCACGTTCCTAAATATCGCAGTGCCCTGTTCCCCCAGCACTCCCAGCCTTATCACACACTTTTCCTTACGTTTTGCATGGGTGACCAATGCTTCTAAGTACACGGCTGGCAAATGTTGTTGCTTGCATCCCTAGCACTGCGCCTAGGAAGGGCCAGCCCAGTTGCAAAGTTTCTTTGCTTCGGATCTTTTCCAATGCTCAAGTTGTTGTATTCATGTTTGCTTATTAATGGTTCGTTCAAATAGTAGGCATCATGAACCCAGTCACACATTGAATTGAAGATAACGGTGACCGACATTAACACTTACATAAAAAGGTCACGGTGATGACAAAAAAAAACAGCACGGACCTCCGATTGTCATTCATGTTGGCTGACTTGTGGCACCCGGTCACGTAATATGACCGCCCACCTGTCCACATCTTGGTAAGAACAGGCGGGTGGGAATTCAACGCACGCGAGGACCCAGAACAGAACAATTGTATGCGTGGCTGACAAGCGATATCTCCCCAGCTGCATCTCACCGGCAGCAAACGCTCTCATTTCCCTCTGGGATACCTGGGAGCGTCCAACAAAAAGAACTCTGAGGGCTGTTGGGAAGTCGCGTTCATAAAGCACACCAAACACTGTGAGCCGATCTCGCTGATGCACCAATGCCCCCGCTCCCAGACACCCTGCCCAGGTGAGGGCTGATAAGGCGTGTTCATTGCGCCGTACCGCAGTCAAAAGTCTCGCCGCCAAGTTGACAGCTTTCTGGATCCGTGACGGATGGCAATGAAGCCTAACCGGAAAGGAGACAGACTACAGTGGGCGGATGAAAACGTGGACCTGTACCAGAAGCTCAAGGGCTGTGAGTGCGAAATGGAGGCGATTTTGTAGAGAGACGGAAAGAAAGTGTTGCACTCGCGACCACCGCCGATTTATGGGCTCCCAGCTCAGACTTTAGTCTAGGGCCATGCATGGAACCTTCTCAAAGTGACATGGCGGTATACGTGGGTCTTATGTGGTGGTGTGGTAGCATGGGAAAGGAATGAGAACAGGTGGCTGATAAAGATAAGGAAGAGGGTAGCTCCGACTATACCACATCTGTCTTGTGCGAATACTCATGCAAACCAAAATCATTTTAGAAAACGGTTTCAAACGTTTCGCACGGTATGCATGCTTGGGTGAAAACGGCCGCTCTGTAAGGCGAGGCAGAACAGAAACGTAAGCTTTTTGTGACCGACGCTTTAGCATGAAAAGACGTTTATGGTCACTTTCCCAGCTGTTGCTTTAAAAAAAACATAGACCAAAGCAGCGTAAAGTCGCTACATTGGCGCAACACATTCAGCCAGCGCTAACTCCCGCCGGTGAACTCATTGCCGTGCTGTCTCCTCCAAACGAAAACCGCTCGCACAGTACTTGCAAACTGGAGCCGAACACTCGTGACGTTATTTGCCGGCTGCCTCCGCGGTGGCGAGCGGCGGCGGCGGTGGCGCCTGCCGACTCAGCCGTCTCCCAGCCGCGTCTCGCCGCTGCCAGCAACATTTGCACCGGCCTCAGCCCAGCCGATTTATAAGTGGCCGGGGGTAAGGGGCTGGGGGTGGCGGCTCTCTATGGAAATTGCCCGCCGGAGAGTTGGGACACCCTCTCACTGCCGGCTGCAGGGCGCGGCGGACGCGCGGAATGCAGCCGGAGCTTGAGCAGGACCCCACAAGAGCTGACGATGTTGATGGCTCCCAACTGACTGTCCGCGGTCATGGTTTCTAGGCAAGGCAGAGGCTGCAGCAGGACCCGACAAGAGCTGACGATGTTGATGGCTCCCGACTGACTGCTTGTCCGTGGTCATGGTTTCTATGTAAGGCAAAGGCTGCAGTTTGTATGTGTTACAGTAACGAGCTGCAGGTGTTGACATCCCATCAACAGCGATAGAGTATGCTTGGAACAGAACATTGTCGCCACCTGCGAGTGGACAAGCTCAACCCTCACTATGCTTACAAGGAACATACGATGGCTTAAAAAGAAGCAGAAGGCATTGCTCGATTCCACACTGTACAACATCCGTCTCCAGCACCCTGGCAGCAACCCAACGGTGATGATAGTTTCATCTGTCAGTTGATGATACCTGATACCAGATACTCTTGCAAAAGAGATGGGTAGCGTTCCTGCCTCAAAAGACAGCTCGACAGATGTGTTCGTGCACATGTCTTGCCCAATCACCTGCACTACTGAGCGTTGGATGGCTCTGATTAACACTCGTGCACATGACGTTCACAAATATCACATCACAAATATCACGATGGGATTTCTTGAAATAGCGCCGCCCGAGAACAGTGCGTGATACTTTGTGAAATGTTCTTTTGCACGACGCGTGTACTTTGAATGTAATTTTTGCTTTATGTGCATGTATTAAGAGAATCCTACGGATAACATACAGGTACTTTTCTGGCAAACTGATAATACTATAAGCATCAGGTGTTTCTTATCGTCTACATAGTGATGTGTATGTTTAGTTTAAGTCAGCTTATTCATTTCCGTGTTTAGCATGCTGAGGATGCTAAACAGTTTCAAGCGGTGACAAATTTGGTCAGGCCAAGGTAAATTCCCTGGTATTCGCTCTATAACAAAATGTGAGAAACCCAGCCGCGACCGAGCATTTGTTCGGTGTTTATAATCATAGTTCAAGACGGCTATCTGAAGACAAACACCGCGCACGTTTCACGAAGCATGTCCCTTAGGTCACTTCGATCTCTTGGGTCAAACGTCTCGGATATCTTAGGAAGCTTTGTACATTCGATACATCCAGCTAATCAATCGCAGACGCATTGCAAAAGGAAATTTACATTGAGTGAGAGCTGTGACATAAATTTTCAGTGCCAACCCGCACAGTATAATATCTCCCAGGGCGTGCCTACCTGTAACAACCCTGCGATCAGCAATCAGCTGCTGATCAGCTGAAAAAAGGTTGGTGGCACTCGGGGCAATTTCGGCAGAGTACTCCCACAACTACAAAAACTGGCCTCTGGGAATGCGGAGCAGTGGGATGCCCATTCTCGTGTGGCGCTGGCTGGCGCCGGACTGGAGACATTCCAGCGCTCTGGAGCGCCGCGGCGACGGTTGGCTTCAATCTGACAGTTAATGATGCTGTCAGTCTCCGGCCGGCGCCCCACAGACATCGCTCCGACCGGCGCTGGTCGGCTCCCAGCCAGAATTATCATCCGACGCTGCAGGGCGCAGGGCGGTGGCAGCGCCGGAGACACGGCAGACCCTGACGTGGAGCGGGGGAGAGGATCCAGCGGCGAAGAAGAGGGATGGCCTCCAGAGCATCAGGCGGCGCGAAGACAGAAGGCCGCCTCGTCTCCTCCGGCGATGGGCAGGAAGGTAATTGGTATATTACATTTACTTGTTTGGCGTATTACAACTCGAGCAATGTCACCCAAAGTCCTGGTAGCACGCGTCCACCTAGAGACAGGCTCGGCGGATATGCATTTTATGTCACCGTTGCTACTTGCTCCAAGGCAGGTGTGGTCATCGCATTCACACACGTTCACATTTGAATATGGCCACTCAAAATGTCTATTATAAGTCCTTGACATCTACAGCGTTGGTGTTCTTTTGCGGAATAGGATCACTGGGAACTGTGTTATTGGGCAAACACTGATGTCAGCACTTAATCAACACTCAGTTTACGGACCCTTAACCACTCGCTACCCACTCAATGCGTTCGGTTTGGAGGGCTTTTACAATGTCATAAACTCAAAATGTGTTGTAATCGCCATCATTCTGCTATTTGATTTTGAAGATGCGAGCGTTGGGAAGGAAAGGAGAGCCATGGATTAGCAAATGATCTTGCTGATTAAGTTTGACGTACACGGAAAAACAATTTTCTCTGGTCAAGTGCATATTAAGTTAGTGTTGAAATATATGCTGTCGGTGATTCATATTAACTGACCCACACTTGCTAATGACTGCACGGGACCAAAAAACGAGATTAGGCATGTAAATAAGTAAATTGCATACTTAGCTTGCGGCTTAAAAAGACGCTGTCCTGTCCTACTGCCCTATATGAGGACAAATGATAGCCATGCCGGGAAACAGGGAAGTGTGGGATTGTCATCATTCGGAAATTACTTTTTCTTTAAATAAGCCGCCGGTGGAATCAGGAAAAAAAGAACGAAAGCTGTCTCAATATGCTCAGCATAAATGATTTGTCGTGCCATGACGTCCATGAGTATCAGCCTTCCATGTAAGAAAAGCTAACGTGTGAACCAAAGAACACACCTTACTTCGAAGTTTTCTGTCAGCATTTCGGTCTTGCGCTATTTTCAGCGCCGACGCCTTTGAGAGCGTGTTACTCACCGTATACGTTAAGCACTACTCGAAACAGGCCACTTGGAGAGCCCCGCACGTCCGGGCCCAGCAGCGCCTTCAATGCAGCCGGCGCCGAATCCCTGCTCTGCCCTGGCGGGAGCGCAGTGAAGCCGGGCCATTCGGCGTTAACTGCCGACACCCACGCTCCGGTTCCATCAGAGCCGAGCCGTCTCTCACCTCCTCAGGGCGCCGGCGTCGTCCGCGGGCGCCGGTGGCCCGGCTCCGCCAGCCGCCGCGCTGGCCTGGCCGGCGCCCGGCTGAGATTTCAGCGACGATTCGGGGAGAGGGCGGGGCGGCGGTCCGACAGGAGATGCTGCGAGACGGAGGGCTTCCGGAAGGGCGCGTGATACTACTGGGTAGGTAGGTCCCAAGGAGGCCATGGGGATTCCGGAACACCTCTGGGATTTCGGCAACGCGACAGAGGTTTCAATGTAATCGGCCTTACCTTTTTAAACGCAAAGCTAAAAATACGCGGGGTTTTCGAAAGTGAGGGTGGATGATACCACTCTGATAGTGAGCCAGTTTAGAGAGCGGTCGCTGTCGCTAGCGCTCTCGAGGTCATCAAATGTCGCGTGAATGTGCCACCCCGGCCGGCCCGCATTCGAAATGGCCTGTTTAGGTGCTCTTAAACCGGCTGGCGCTGGTGACAGGCGGCAGGGTGGGAGGCGCCGATGCCACCAAACCAAACAGAGCCGGTGCGCGCCGTTCACACGAGAGCGCCCGGCCGGGCGGCCAGCACCACCAGGCTGCCGAGCGCCCGACCGCGTGCAGCGAGCTATCGGTCAACAGATGAGTCGGGCCGGCGAGCGCTTCCACCGCGCAGTTACGTGACACGATCAAACGGCTGATACCGGGGGCGCGCAGTCCACGTGCGACCTCTGGCCTCTTGGTTTGGTGAGCAGACTTGCGCGGTGTTATGAGCGATACTTCAGTCGGAGTGAGACAAGTGCGCACTCAGATGTGATGGGTGGGGGTAGGGGGTAGGGGGCGGTCGCTGCATTAATAATTGAAACGCGCCTTGACGCACATGCGTGATGTATTTCACGATGCAGAATTCCTTACCTGTATAAAACTGTACCTCTCATCTTGCACTGCAGCAGAAATGAAGGCAGAAATTGTAAGCACATGTAACTGCTTAAACATGGCCCCGCATCGGATGCAAGCATCCGTGGCTCAGTTCTGGTCGCTTCTGGACTTGCACATTTGACGCGCACCGAATCCCATGCAGCCTGCAAACTTATAACAACTGCGCTGGGACCAGCCGAATTTCCTGCCGAAGTTTGCTGCCGGCCAAGTTAGCTGGACTTCGGCGGTGGCGGCTAGTGACAAGTGGGCGACGATGGCGGCTCACATCTGAAATTCTGCGCGTGCGACGGACGCGAACGCCTCCGCCGTCGGCGCCGGCCGATCCCACCAGATGGGATTTATCATCGATTTGACGGCAAACGACGCCGGCACGACAGATTGCGCTGCTCCTCCCCTCCCCCTCCCCCTGCACTCCTGATATGCGCAATGCGGTTCGAGTCTCAGGGAGCGCACTGCTGGCGACGGTCGGCAGATCGCACCGCACGCGCCTCCTGGCCGGGCTACAGCGCTGTTCGTCCGCCTTTGAGTAGCCGCGCCAGGCCGGTGTGGATTTCCGCAGTCAGGGTGAAATCGATGCGAAATTCCTCACCACTGTTCTTATTTATTCACGACGATTATCGACTAATAAGGCAGGCAGGGGATTCAAGACTTAAGCGGAAGGCTAAAAAGGTCCGAAAAAGTGATCTCCTGTCGCCAAATTAAGTTGAACTCTCCATTTACTATTTCACCTGTTGCCTTTACTACCGCTATTGCAGCCAAAGTCGTTGCCTGACGATTCCAGACGTCATATGACTTACAACAGGTGGGTTCAGAACGCGATGTTTTGTAAATCGTTTCGAACAAGAGTGACGAGAGCGTTTCCGGCCACCATTTCACTAACCAGACAGACGCAGTAAAAGGAGAATCCACTCTGGCTAAGTGTTGTTTTCAACACCATAACTTGGGAAAACAACTTCTATTCTTATAAAACGCCACGAAATAAAGCTGCGCTGCGACAAGGCGGGGCAACAGACGAACAAAAGACGCGTGGGGTTACAAAGCCCATTTTATGTATACTCGATAGGATGTTTAATGTGCATTCATGAAGTTTTAAATGTCACAACTTTGAGCACAGCTCATCTCTGCACCAACAGGGTGCAGCCAGATTATGACGCCGGATGACCTCAGTCTCAGCATGTGACAGGCATGAATGGACATCACTTCCATGATATAAGCCTTCAGGGTCCTTGCTAACCCTCGCTCCATGGATTTTTCACCATAGCCATATGAGGAGAACTTCAAAGGCCCTCCTAAGATCTCAACCAGTAAGGGATAACCGCGGGGAAAAATAGCATTGAAATGTGCTTGTCAATTTAAGCTCTCGCTCTCGGATTGCATGAGATAGGTGTGGTGAGCAGTGGTCAAATCAGGTAAAAGAACCAACATAGAGCTTTATGGATCTACTGTTATCTCATTAAGCAAACATACTAAGGCAATGCGGAAACCGGCGTTGAATGGCTCTTGGTACAACTATGAGATGGACACCAGCTGACATTAACGGATGTGACCTCTGATATGTCACGTTACATGGGTGTCCCGAAATTGATGCGCGGTTGTATCGTCCTCACTAACAGAGAAAATAATTGAGACGGGTTCATGGTTTATTTGCCAATGTAATCCCCACGCAGTGGTACACACTGCCGCATGGGGTCTGGCATGCCGCACATCAGGCTGTCCAGAGTCTGCCTTGACCCTCCGACACGCCACTGGCACGTTTTGGAACAGAGTCTTCTCTGAAGTGGCCGGTGAAATCTTGCTGAGCTTCTTCTTGACAATCACCCAGAGACTCTCGATCGGCGACATGTCGGGGCTGTTGCCTGGCCACGTACCCTTCTCCCAGAAGCCCGCGAAGTTGGCGCGGTACCAGTCCTGGGTCTTCCTGGCGTGATGAGCTGAACGCCGTCCGTCCTGCCGGAAAATCGCCCTCGACATGTCTGGCAGAAGTTTGACCTGAGTTGGCGGGACATTCTCCTTCCTCCGCTGTATCGCCGAGGCTGTAATCTTCTCCAGCATCCCTCTGACGTAGAAGTCGGCGGCGACGGTCTGCCCGCACGGGACTTCGTGTAGCTCAGAGAGACCTCTGTAGCTCATCATGCCCCAGACAAGAATCTTGAGCTTTTTTAGCTTTCTTAAGCTGCTTCACTGTCTCGGTGATCGGCACCTCCGAGCTGTTGTTGGCCCAGGACTGGTCGATTCGGCGGATGGGGGCTTGGAGGAGCTCGAAGGGCGACTCGTCACTGAGCAGGATGCGTCTCCAGTCCTGAACGAGCCAGCTCTTGGAGGGTCTCGGTGAACTCCAGCCGCCTGCGCTTCCGGTCCACGGTAAGCCTTGGCTGCGACCTGAGGTCGAGCGGCTTCAGTTCCAGGCTGGTCTTCAGATACCTTTGGACGGCCGACTTGGAGGCCAGGTGCTTCTTCGCCGTCAGTTTTCCCGCCAGGGTTCTCGTCGAGTGGCGTCTTTTGAAGGCCAACTTTGCAATGACGATCTTCGCCACTCGGCTCAATGCCGACCTCCTCCCACGACCTGTGCGGTTTTCGAGCGTCTCTCCTGGGCGGTCGCAGGCCAGCCAGCGCCTTATTGCCGCTACGTTGACGCCCAAGTCTCTGGAGACCTGAACTTGGGCCATGCCGCCCTTGACCATTCTAATCGCGCGGTAGCTGGTCGATGACTTGTGCTCTTTGACCACCTACGATATGCGGACTCGAAGCGTTGGCTATCTCGAAAGGAATGACCTCTCCCGCCCGCTACCGGCCGAGGTCAGGCCGGCCGCTAGGGTCATGCGATCACCTGGCACGGCGGGACGTCCTGGGGCCAAGCGCGATGCAATTTCACTCACTCAGTGTTCGGGAGAGGGGAAATGGTGAGCGGCACCAACCGCGCATCAATGTCGAGACAGCCTGCACGGGGGAGAGAGCCGTGGCTGCTTCGGCCCGTTCGGCTATGTGAAGAGCTGGAGGGACCACGTCAGTGATAAAAACGGCGTTCTAGATTTTTCCAACAACTAGAAGATATGTAGAATTGATGTTCAAGTCTTCTGATCTCCAAAGGTTATATCTGGTCACACTTATTACACCCAAACCGAGATTGGCCTGGGATAACCGGCATTCTCAAAAGCAGCGATAATGACAATAATGCACCCGGGGGGATAAAGCGGGAAACTTGTTCAAAATCTTCTTTGAGAATATTTTCTCCGGAAAGCTCTGTCATTTGTCACTTCTGAGAACAATGTCACCGACATTACCAAGAGGAAGAGTGATGGCTCTGTTCAATCACGACCAGACCAGAAACTTCATATGTTATGACCAGAAACTTCATCATAATTTCGCAACATATTAAAAGATCATGTTAACCCGGCTACGTAAAATTTCAGCATCGTGCTCAGAACCCCTCTGAAGGTATTCCATAAAACTCTTCGGAGAAGCTTCTGAACCCCTGTTCAGACACATTCCTGGTGTACGCATCGGGCGTTTATTTCAGTCATCGATCTATGAAGGCGTTTTAACCCACTGCAGCCGGTTTGGAGCTTCCTGATCGCACGTCGACTGTTGCCTTTGGAAGGCCGCAGGGCCAAATTCCTTTCTAGTGCGCATTCAGGTTGTCAAATATTTCACAGAACATGTGTTGTTTTTTATTGGAATTGTATCTTAGCTTCGATGCTCATCCCAGCACAGTTCAAAACGGTTTTGCGCCGCATATGCGTCGGCGTTGCACACACATACTATCGGTGGCTCGTCAACACCACCAGTGCAGCCCCTCCCTCACTGGACCCCGGGGCTCGGGCCATGGTGGGCGCAACAGAAGGCACAGCTAGCTCCGTCGTGGCCGGCAGACTGCTGTTGGAGACATGCGGTGGTGGTGCTGTCAGCTGGTGCTAGCTGGCTCAGCTTTGGTGGATGCCTCAGCGCAGCTAAAACCGGTCAACGACAATGACAGCCAAGATATTTCAGATCAGATCAGATGACACCACGTAAACGGAGCAGGGTGCGAAATAGGATTGCAGGGTGCGTTTTATCAAAGCTCACGAGTTGCGTTTAGTTTTAAAGTCTGACCGGATTTTCGGCGTTTTAGATTGTTGGATATCTACAAATGCCTGAGTGACATTTGTAAAATTGGTACTTCATCAAATTGATAGGCAGCCAACATCATTAGTTCCGAGATTCTCATACAACATCGAATGACTTGGACAACTGACAGCCAAAGCCAGTCAGCTCAAACAGGCAAATAAAGCATCGTTTCCACTCAGTTCGGCAGGCCGGTCCAGGGAAACGAAGCTCACGAAGCCACAGAAGGGGGCACACCACACCCCTGTCCACTAACCCCGCTTGGCGGCCGTCTGTTCAAACCTTGCACGTGAAACTAACAGGAAATTGAAGCGGGCAGCTAATCTGTCAGCTGTTAGAAGTGTAGGCTTCCTTTGTCCGGCCTCGGCTGCGCCACGCTCGCCGCCTTCCGACGGTCGGAGGCAACCTTTCAGCACCTGAGACAATGCCACCTCGGCCGAGGCCGGCGGCCGCGCCGGTCGAGCGCCATCGTCACGCCGAACTCTATTACGCCCCAAACGAGGCAGACGAGTGACCTCATTACCGGGGCGACTCGCGTCAGCACAAGGACGAAGCGATCTGACGCTGATGAGCGAGTAGGATGCTGAAGTTAGTTATTGCTAAACGGCTGAAATGCGCACTGCAAAGGCGCGCTGCTTTCAGTTCCGCTTCTGCGTCACCGAATTCGGCTGCGCCACACCTCCTGAAAGAACGCTTGTAGGTATGCTAGCCAGGGAGCGGGTGGGTGAGCATAGCGATTTATAAAGCATAAAGGTCTGTGAGCAAATATTAATGGAAAATTTCCACCTGTGGGATCGGCATTTAGCTTAACGCGTAGGAACTGCCTAGTTCCCCTCGAGCTGAATCGGAAAACAAATACAGTTTTCTTGAATTCTTCCTCAATGGCTCCGGATTTCCACTGGAATAGAGATTTTCGCAAATATTTTTTTTCCGGATAAGCTCCACATTTATCCTCGCAGAAAGCTCAGCAATGGTTACAGCGGCCTTACGCTCCTACTGTCAATAAATCGTGCAGTGAGATTCGTGATCCAGTTGCTGTGCGTAGTAACTCGTGTTACTCTTTTTGATAGTTCATCTTGTTCTAAATACGTCACTCATGGTATTCAGTTCAAGTGAACATGCCCCATTTCCATTAAAGGGTTAAGCCTCCACGAAATCGGTTTTTAGTTAAATACTTATAAAGTTTCGGCGCGCTCTGCATTCCTCTGGTTTCTTAGTTTTCCCAAATGGTACCTCATTACGCCAAGGTCATGCCCGGGTCCCAAGGGAGGTTAGTTCATGCTAGAAGTGCTTCCGTTACGGAGCTGTTTTGTGTGAGTTGAGGCCAAAACGTTACGGCTGGACGAAGGCTCAAAAGCCGCACCGTTCCCGTCATCTGAGACCTGTTATGGTCGAAAGGCCCGTCATCTGAGACCTGTTATGGTCGAAAGGCTGCTTCTAGCGACAACAGTTATCACCTCGCGCTGGCACAGATACGGACGGAAAGCTTTTTTGGAAGGTCCCGACCCTTGATACCTGGACAAAGGATCACGGCTAAACGATCGTAGCCATCTGACGCCGGTCGATCAATATAGCCCTGACGTCTGTGGTGCTCTCGGCGAGATTCTGTGGTGCTCCCGGCCGGATTCCGACGCTTATTACACCGTTAGCTCGGCTCAAGACGCTGCAATCAACGTAATGAAACCAATTACGCATTGTGTCCTCCGAAACAACACGTCTTCCATGTGTGCCTGATCGATGCCCGCGCGCACCCTGCTCTTACGAAGCCGTGAATGTACGCCAGCTGGTGGAAAGAAAAGAAGGCTTCAGTCTCTTCCATTACTGCTCACTTTGATCTTTTCTTCAGGAAAAGTTTTCCCGAAGATGCAACCTCCACAGTAAGACCTGTTTATCAAGACAAAACGGTCCCATCTGTATCCAGCTCAGCCAGAAGAGGAACGCTTGCAGGAAGTGAATAGCACGGCCAAACAAAGCGCCGGGTCCCGGGGGGATTGCAGCCTACGGGCGGCCAGGCACGCGCTGTGACGATCCGCGTCCTCTCTCCCGCTCTTGAAGCCTTTCGCGCGTACCACCATGATATTTCGTTTCATCCAGTATGTGGCATTTTAAATTGTGTGCTTTCCTGCAGATTTCCTAGAGATCGTAAAGGAAGTGCTTAGTTATGGACTGGAGCGGAAATGGTACTTGGAATGGTTGGCTGTTGTTTGTTCACACGGAAATTCATCAGGCTGCGTCATTTGCCAAGATATGTCTGGTATCGGAGCTTTCTGAATGATGAACGATGGCAGCTGATGACGACGACTGCCAATAAGCAAGATGGCAAAGTAAAACATCAAGACGAGCAGAAGCATGAACACGAGAAAAAATATCATTAAAGAAACGTTCATATATCTACGATCATAATCATATATCAATGTTTCTCGTTGACACGCTCAGGAACCAGAGCTGATTCGGGAGACAAACGTGACGACAATAGCAGAAAGCAGCACGACCACTCCTCTCATCTCTACGGCAGGCGGGTCCGTGTCATCCGCGCCCGAGCGCAGATCAGCGGACCCTCCCATTCCTAATCGCATTAGCCTCCAATAGCAAAAGTGCGGCGCCTCGGCTGAAGCTAATGCCGCAGCTCTCGCTGTGACGAGTGGACACTCGGCAGAAGGAGCTCCGTAGGAGGCGTCTGAACTCGCGCACTGCCGCGCGGCCGGCGGCGGCGGCCCACGCGTGTCCGGACGGCCGGCGGCGGCGGCCCACGCGTGTCCGGACGGCCGGCGGCAGCGGCCCATGTGTTTCCGGATGTCTGGCGGCAGCGGCCCACGCGTGTCCGGAAGGCCGGTGCCGCTCTAACGGGCTGGGATGTGGCCGCTTCCGGCCGTTCAGAATGGCCGTCGTCGGCCGCCGGCCCGTTTCTACGCCGCAGCGTCAAACCCAGCGACGAGAACGGCCGGGAAGTGGCCCTGCGAGCCAGCGGCCACGGCTCTTGGTCATGCCGTGCGTCACAGCTATGTTATTTCATAGGCTATTGTCCCTCTGTCTTTCTGAGACGCAGCGTGTTGGACAGGGCACGAGGAGCGTATATGTGGAGCTGCACACAAAAGTGTGTGCTATTGAAGAGGCTGTTAAGGAACTAATCAGGCAATAGGCCGAGATAGATCAGACGATAACGGAAGAAAATCGTGGGATGAGATGGTGGGCAAAAGTCTGGAGCGTGGGCACGATGTGTAAAAGTCCATGGTAGGTATTACTGGCACTGCACGCTAGTGCTCCCACTGATTGCAGCTTTCTTTAAAATTACTTATATATTTGGACGTGAGCATTCTACAGAGTCGTTCTGTTGTTATATAGGTAAAAGCCATGATCATTACGCACTTGTGTGGAGAGCATTTGCGTCAAAATATTCAGTTACACAAGTGTGATAACACCGACTATATTAAAAGAGGCAAATTGTGCAAATCGCTGCAGTTTCACTTTTTGGAAGCCAAAGGAAATAACAAAATCAAGGGTTCGGCACTTGATAGTATGTTCCTACGTCAGGCGGGTAACAAGCTGAGCATGTCAGTACATATGTGATGTAAAGACTCGC